GCGGAGCGGGGCCGGGCGCGACGCCGCGGCGCCGCGGGGTCCTAGAGCCGCCCACCCGCGGTGGGGGTCGTGCGAGAGGCTGGGCAAAGGGGGGTCTGACAGGGGGAGGTGGTGGCTGCGGGGGTACCTCGAGAATGGACCCTGCCCCGGTGGGGAGGAATCCGCAAAGAGAGCCGGGAATGGGGCTGGGGGCGTCCCAGGGGTCGGGTCCCGCTGTGGGGGCTTGGGGACAGCCCTCCGCAGTGCTTTCCCTCAGGAAGAGGGGACGCTCTCCAGGCTCGGTGCTTCGGTGTAAAACCCCCATTTTAAGCCCCAGCGCACTCCACTCCCCCTGCTCCGCTGTCGCAGTTCATCCAGAGGTTTCAAAGCACGGGGGGCGTTACACTGATTAGTTACTTAAGAAACTGAATAGCAAAGCCAAGGGGTCGCAACCTGACTGATGGAACTGGGAAGTCTGATCGTGTTGTCATGGGATGAGATGGTTCAAGCCATGCTCTGAGTTTGAGTTCAGTCAGCTCAGTCAGCCAGGGCAATGTCAGTGCCGTGGCACTTACATTTGCCATTCTCTGCTGCAGGTTTTCTGCTCTTTGTGCTTAACTTTTCAAATTAAGGAAAAGCTGAAGTGCCCCTCGTGCAACTCAACTCCCAGCATGGGGCAGTGGAGCCTCACAATGTGTTTACGGGACCAATGGGTGCAAAAAGGGATGGGAAACCCCTACTATGCCCCCCAGCACTAAGCACACGTTCCCACCCCACTCCCCAGATTTCCCCCCAGAATAATTCCATTTTTACAAGGGTTTCACCAAACAGAGTCCCTCTCCCTTTAAAGGCTAAAAAGAAGAGGAAGAAGAATCCCAGTGCCCGCTCTGTGTTCCTGCTGCACATCTCACAGTGGGAATGGGGACACGGCAGCCCCTGTGAGCAGATGTTCCGTGTACAACGCGCTGAGTTATTCTTGCTGCATGCTCACGATTTCTCAAGGCTCTCAGTACCTTTTTTATGATCTGCCGTTGACTTCACTAATGACTCACATTTGGTTCCAATGAGATATTTTCATATGACTAATGAATCTATATTTGGAGGCGTAAGAGGGTTTGGCTAATTATCTGTTGCAGGCAGTTAAATATTCCAAGCATCCAACGTTGGTTTTCTCCCAGTGGTGAGATCCGTGCCCTCGCACTCTCAGTACACGGGCTGATATCTGCCTTTCAGCCTTTGTAAGCACAAGGGACAGCCTGAGCCTCATTGTAAAGCATTTTTTAGATGGCTGATGGGGGTCATTCCCCTAGGGGAGGGTTTCAGCCCGGTTCTTTGCCAGGCACTCGGCGCAACGCCATTGTGCCATGCCATTAATAACTCCTGGTAAGGGACAGGTTCCCGATTAGCACCCAGTGTCACCACTTGTTGCCCCAGCAGAGAGCTCTCTGCAGAGCCCCTCGGCCACAGGAGAACAACAAAGAGGGTTTTACAGCTGTTGTGCTGAGGGGGGCGAGGAGAAAGCGGCTCGAGTGCCCATGCCCGGCTATAATTTCTGCAGCGGGTCTCTGCTGACAGTTTTAGGATTAACAAGCGAGCTCTGTTCTCAGACATTTACCCCTCTGAAGAAGCTGGCCTGTTTGTTCTCAAGGGTTTATTTTACCCTACAAAATATGGCATTGCCAAACAGATGTAGGCTTGTTCCTAGAAAGGCGACTTATAACTGCAGCCGCATTTCACAGAGGCTTTCGCCCTCGGGATTGTTTGTAAATGCGGCAGTATTCCTCCGACCCTTTTCAGGGCCGTTTTTTCCCACAGACGTGCTGGTCGGGTCTTTTATGGCTCTGTCCTTTGTCAAGGATGAATTAAGAAAAATAAACTTGCAAACACAAAGTGGAGGCCCAGCCTGGAGATCCTCTTGCTCCCAACCATTAAGGGGTATTTTACAGCGCTGGGTGGGGGGAAAAGAAAACAATGCATGCTCCTGCATTTTTCTTGCCCTCATTTGTAGCTCCAGGGGTAAGGAAGAAAAATAAATAAATAAAAGGAGGGAAGTGGAATAAAAGTGCCTTGGTATTTCTGCAGCCTCCTGTTGAAGAGGCTGACACAAAGCACTCCCCCTGCAAAGAGCCTCCTGCATCCCTAAGCTGCCTGACAGTGATGAGGAAGGGAAGGCATCGAGGAAGAAGGCTGTGAGGATAGGATCTTGGGCTCTTGCTTTCTTTCAGAGGTTTAGCCAACTCTGGCCATGAGCAATGGGGAAGAGGTCTGCAGAGCAGCTGTGCCTAGGGATGACCACTGACCCTCATCCGCTATGTGCCCCGGGGCCCACTCCTTCCTCACATTGCACTCCCCAGGTGCAGAGTGCAGATGTCAGCAGAAGGGTCAATTATAGGCCACTCTTTACATGGATACTATCTGACACGTCTTTAGAGCAGCCCTAAACTCATTATCCGTGATCCTGACCCAGTCATTATGAATGCTTTGGAGTGGTCAGGGCTGGTTTGACCAGATTTCTGCAGCATTGACTACAGATCAGCAAAGCTAAAGCTGCCCATCAGTGTGGGGCATGGAGCCATGGTGGTATGAGCTGTGGTTGCGTTCCCCAGCAGCTGTGGTTGCTCATCCCTAGATATCCCTCCAAGATGCCTTCATTAATCTCAAAGGTAAGAAGCAGCCTGAGGCCCAGCAGCTGCCAGGAAAAGGTGATGCAGAAAGGATTCTACACTGACATGGGGCAGTCAGGCACCGTGACTCAGGCTATAGGGATGACAGTATAAGAACAGAAGGGATTTGTGTGGACAGTGTTCTCTGACTTCAGCATGTACTGGGTCCATTGTTGATGGAAGAGGACTTGGTAAGGACAAGGGAGATGAATCCTTTAGTACATGGTGGTGGTGTATAGGAGCCATAACATGGCCTACATCTACCAGCTGCAGAGCTTCCCGACCTGCCCCTTGACCTTCATGGCCAACTCTGACAAATGGGGGGACCCATAGGTCCCTCTGACATTGGTGCTGACAGGCTTCCCCCAACATCTGGTACCCCTTGGGCAGGGCAGCGGGGTGAAAGCATTTCAAAGCACACGTCGATGCTCAAGAATTTTACACGCAGAATCAGCCAACGTTTCCATTTGCTTGGTGTTTGCTGTTGGAAAAGCAATAACAACTTTGAAGATTCTGCTCAGGAGAGAAAACAGCCCTTTCCAAGGCACCATGCTGAGATGCTGCTTTGTGTAACAACACTGTGGGAAGGAGGAGCTGGGATGTATGACATGAGCCCGTGGAAAGGGCTCTGATGGACAGGGTGAAGGCAAAGGGAAGAGTGGTATAAGTTTGTAGTGAGAAAGAGCTCCAGCTGCTGGTCCCTAGCTGATAGAGTCAGAGCCCCTTGGGGGAAATAACTACACTTGCCTCATGGGAGACATAAAACAAGCACTGGAAAAACATAGGGAATAGCCTTGTTTTGGCAGGGCACCATTTAGATCTTAACCCAATGCACAGAGCTCTCCTAGGGCAAGGGAAATGCACTAAAAGGTACTCCTAACTCTATCTCTTCTGAATCCTCCCTTTAGAGTCCAACACAACAACCAGTTCTGGCTCTGTCTTTAGGTTGCACAAACCCAGCCCGCAGCCCCTCCTCATCACTTGCTATCACATGTTAGTTATTATCCAGAACTGCTCCTATCCTTTCATGTAAGATTCTGGTGTCTCGCACCACAGTAGAGCACAATTTTAGGTTTATAGCTCTGTGTTTATTTCCAAGGAAAATTTAATGGCCTGATGTACAAAGCTACTTAAGCCTTAAAATTAAGTCATCTCTGCTGCAGAATACAGCTTGCTAATTAACTCCACACAAAAACAGTGCAGCTGAGGTCTTAAAGGACAAGTGCCAACACAGACCAATGGAAGAGTAAAGGGCCTTTGGGGAGGTACCAGGACAGACCCAGAGTATGGGTTTGCATGGACATGGGAGCTGCCTGAGCCAAAATTCATTATGTTGCCTTGAAAGTGAGTGGACATTAATAACGAGGCTGCTCCCACTCAAATAAACTAAATTTGGATTTTAAGCTCAGCCCCACTCTGCAAAGCAGCTCCATAAAAATGTCATTGCAGGACTTCCTGTTTATTGTCTCTAACAGGCTCCAAACAAAACCTGTTCCACTAAAAAAAAGAGCCATCTGTAAGCACAGGTCCCCCTCCTTCACCCACAGCTCTAAAATGAAGGATCCAAGTTAGCCTCCCCAAAGGATTTGGACTCAACGATTCTTAGGGGTCCATTCCAATCTGGGATATTCTATGAAACCCCATGCAAGACTCTGACTTTTGAGATACATGTCTGGCCAGAAGATGCCAACCTGCTGCTTGCCCTGTGCTTGATCCATCCTTCTCCTTCTCCAGTGCCCGTCTTTCCCATGGGTCAGTCTGTCCCTGTGGGCACTCTGCTGTGGCCACACTGTGCTGTGGGAGCAGCCAAGAGCAAATGCAGCCTTTTATAGCCTTCAGAGCCTGGTCCAGCCTGACCTTGAATGTCTCTAGTGATGGGGCAACCACCATCCCTCTGTGCAACCTGTTCCCATTCTTCACTACCCAATTGTAAAATACTTGTTCCTTATATCCAGTTATCCAGTATAATCTTAGACAATAGACCAGTTACTCACTTTTCACCTACCAGAACAGCTGTGAACTGGAGTAAGACTTTTATTACCTTCATTGCAGGCATTGGGATTTTTCAGAAGAGCCTCAGAGAGCCAGAGAGCTCAGATGCAACAAGCATTTAATTGCAGATGAGTACATGATTTCCTTCAGCACTGTTGACTCTCCCAGCCTGCAGCACGTACAGCCCAACTCTGACCCTTTAAAGGAAGCAAATGGATAACAACCACTGCTCTTCTGCTGC